AAGATGATGATATAGGAAAATAATGTACGTACGCGCACATCAGCGTTTACTAAGACAGAAAGAAATATTCAGATAAGTTTATTATAAAATTTTTCGATAAAAGACATAACGGTTTTATCTGTTTTTAAAAAGCAAGATCAAGTTTGCATCACATTTGCATCATTATTAGTTATTGTCGTTCCGAAACAAGTTGTTTACATCCAGTTGATTGCCCCTCAGAAATATTTGTTTACGTTCCATTAGGTAAGATTTTAATTTTCTTTTAAATAAATTATAGTTTCTTATTTCTCTTATTTTTAGTGGTAATTGATTGTAGACTCTTGGTCCAAGACAGGAAAAATCTTTAGACAAGACAGGTTTGCTGTATCTTCCAAATTTGATCTGATGTTTTCTGCGACCTTCCCTAATAACTTCAAATTCATTCTCAAAGAGAAGAATCTTCTTGACTAGCAGCAATAAATTGAAATAGGCGATTCCAGTAACAGGTAATACATTTCTAGCAATTTTCTGATATAAATCTGATGTTGAGTGTCTTAGTTCTAGATTGAATGCAATTTTTAACGATTTATTTTGAATTATCTGAAGTCTGTTGATGTCGTTGCAGCTCATTCTACATAGTAAGAAGCCACTATAAAACAGATGAGAGCCAACAAAAGCATTGTAAAATTGGAACATTGAATAATCTGGTAAGTAGTGTCTGATTATGCTCATTGCATTGACTGATTGTGAAAGCTTATTGACCAGTTTATTGGCGTGATTATTCATTTTGAGTCCACTGTCAAGACAAATGCCTAGATAAGTCATTTGATCAACTTTCTCAATTTGGCTTTCCTTCATAAAATCATCCAAATTCTGGAAAGACTTAAATCCAAAAGTCATGTACTTCGATTTGTTCAGATTAATTTTCAGTCCGTTATCCATGTAGTATTCGTTAATTTTCTTGATGTCTCTCTCAACAGACTCTGCACAATCTTTAAGTTCGTCACATTCAAGAATCAAAACAATATCGTCAGCAAATTTGATAATTGTTGAGAATGTCTGCACAAATTTCAAGTCATATAGCATCATATTGAAGAGTAGAGGACCTAGATTACTACCTTGTGGCACCCCTTTCAGAATTAAACAGGCTAGACTCACTGCATCCGAAATTTTGACAAACTGATAACGATTCATAAGGTACTGTGTGATTAATTGCAATGCGATGCCCCTAATTCCCATATTTTCCAATTTAAAGAGTAGCATGTCATGATTAAGGCTGTCAAAGGCTTTTGATATATCCAGAAAAACAGCGACAACATATTTTTTTTTATCCAAAGCCTTTGATACAATAGTTAATAACTTACACAGCGCATCTTGAGTGCCGTAGTGATTTCTGTAGCCATACTGTAGTTCGTCATACTGCTTGTATCTGGAAGTGAACCCTTCAATCTGCTCGTATAAAATCTTTTCGATTACCTTATTAATTGTTGGTAGTAAGGAAATTGCTCTGTAGTTGTCCACATTAGTTCTACTGCCACTTTTATGTATTGGTTTTATGGAGGCAATCTTCAGGATATCTGGATATATACCATTTTCTAGTATATCATTTATTAGCATAGTTAAAGCAGGCGTAAAAAAAGTGGCATTTTCTTTCCACACTCTTGCAGGAATTCCATCACTTCCGGTTGCTTTTCTTATGGACATATTGTTAAGAAGGCATAAAACATCATTTTCAGTCACTGTTTGTAGAACTATACTGTTGACGAGAGGTTTACCGAGAAATTTCTTCGTTACATCTTTTGATTCATGGCAAACAATTGAGCTGAATTTCGCTTGGAACGCCTCTGCAATTTCTTTTCCATTAAATATCACTTCACTATCTGTTTCAATAACAAAAATTTGATCATTCTTTTTTCTACCCGTAATTTCGTTAATGATGTTCCATGAAAAATACCGACAATTAGAAATCAAATTAGAGTAGTACCGCTGCGCTATTTGAGTGGTGTGTTCCTTTAGTTCATATTCCAGACACACAAGCTTTGCCTCTAGAAGACTAACAGGATGATTTATGTTTTTCATTTTCCTTATTTTGTCATACAGATTATTGATGTGTTTTGAAATTCTAATGTACTTGATATCAACAAATGGTGGTACATCATCAACTAATGTGTGTTTTATTTTATAGGTTTTTTGAGCATCATTAATAATTGCTTGTGTGCCTGCAATTAGTTCACTGAAAGCATCATTGACATTGGAGCCCGGAAGAATGACGACATCAGAATTTATTAAGTGATTGGTAATTTTATCATAATTGATCTTCGTGATATTTTCCTGCTTTCGTTTCTCTTGGTGAGTAAAACCATCCAACATTAGACATATGAAATTGTGATCTGACAGTTTCATTTTCTTTGATGTGTAAATACTTACATTCCTTTTTTTATTTCTTTTAAGCAATACATGATCAATTATAGTGGCTGATGAAGGTCTGGTTACGCCATTGTTTACGACTTCATAATCATACATCAACAGCAAGTCATTATATTGTTTGCATCGATCTGGATTCAGCACATTGATATTCATGTCTCCAGCTATGATAACATCCTCATGGACATCTAGTACATCCTCAATGAAGTTGTAGAATTCAGTCAAATTTCCAGACGGTGGACGATAAATAATCAGGATCTTTTGCTTGATGCCAGATGACAATATTTCAACCAAAATGGCCTCAACGTTACTATTTGAAAATTTACAAATCACATTAAAGGCTAAGCCTTTTCGGACGTAGATTATAATCCCACCGCCAGCAGATAAGCTTCTTGAAAGCATAACTGAGTGATAATTTTTAAGTTCATACAATTTAAAATTATCCATTTCGTTAATCCATGACTCAGTTATTGCTAAAAAATCGATAGTTTTGTCTTTTTTGTTCATCAGTTCAGATAAATTGAATTTAAATTTTGTAAACTTGTTAATAGATTTTATTGATCTTATGTTCCAAAGCAGTAGAGAGAATTTAAGATCATTTTCCTTTTTAATAATTTCCTTCTTTATTTCCTTTGGTTCACAATCATAATGATTACGAATCAGATTTAATGAAACATCTTGATCAATTGAATTTAGCTGAACTGATGATGCTTCACATCAATCTCGTTTTGGTGTGCTGGAAGGTATCCTTCCTTTTTTGGCATTCGATGCATCGTCAACTTCATTTGTATCTCTTTTTCTCTTTTTTTGTGTCGTTTCAGCTTTCTTACTACTCCAAAAATCAGCGTTGTATTTTTCATTAACAGGAATATAAGCATCTTCTACATTCAATGATATTCTCAAATTATCAATATCCTTCTCGGAGGTCACAACAATCGAACGGAAAGTCGTTTTTTTCTTATCCTCATCGGTGACTTTATATGAGACAAGTATACCACGATCACATCCTCGAACGCTATGTAAGATTCCATCATTTTTCAACTCATAACAGATTCTTTTCAATATCCAAACGTTTTTGCTTGTAGGTGTCTCAACATAATATTTCACAAGACCATGCTGACCTGTTTTTGCAAGCTCTTTGTTGTACGTGACAATTTGAGAAAAGATTCGACTAGGTGTAACGGGATCGCAAAAGCGGACTCTTAAGATTTTGATAAGTTTTCTAGTTCCATTAATGAACTTGCGTCCTGTGATTAATTTAGCATCAACTACTTCTTTGGGCGGCATAATTTTCATATCACTCATGATTTTCGTAAATTTTTGCTTAGGTCCGATACTTCCATTTTCAATTTCTTCGGCTTCCTTCTCATCGACAAGAATAATGTTGACGAAAAGACCATCAAAAGCACAATCTTTTGCGACTTCAAGTGATTGGATACGAGTTTTCAAGTCATTATGTGAATCGGTCAAATTTCCAATACCATTAGACAGGTTATCAATTGATTTGCTGCTTGACTGGATAACAGCAGAAGTGTCGTTATGACTGCGCACTAGTTTATTATGACATTGCAAAATTTTATCACTGTCTTCAACACATTTAGTTACATCTGATAAGATATCAAGTAAGACATTTTTTATTTCATGTACTTCTTTAATTTCTGATATTTTAGCCTTCTTTTCCTCTAGTGATTTTCTTCTAGTTTCGAGGACGCTCACCATTTGAGAGAGTTCAGGTATTTCAGCAGGATTCAAGACCGTGGATTCAAATGACATACATAGTTGAAGAGAAACTTTCATTCTGATTTGATGTACTAGGAGTCAAGAAAAAGTTTTTAATGTTTTTCTGCGTGTTGTTGCCTTTTGATGCATTTTTGCTGTTGCTATTATTTTCCTTTTTCGACTGTGATGTCTTTTGGCTGCTAAGCAATGAATTAAGGAAAGAGCTATTTCCATCCTTTTTTGTCAATTTATCAGGCATTTTCAGTTAAACGTCCTTTTGTGATTTGAATTATTTTTTTTCCCGTGGATAGTGCGCCTTTTGAATTTATTTTTTTTTAACGTTTTTTTTTTTAACTAACTTCTTAGCGATCACGTGATGAGTATGCCAATGTTTTCACTGGATCTTGCGTTTGATTGTTCTTGGTTAATATTTTAATTAATAAGGTTTTAAGTAATTATTTGTCTGGTAACGAAATCGCATGTATTCAAAGAATACGCATAATTTTGTTCAGTCACAAATAAACTGATAAAACCCTAATTAAATTTGATATTACCAGCAAGACGGTACAAACAAAAAATTGCAGAATTTTTTTTTTTGAGGAAATTTAATTTATCAATTTTTTTCACTTAATGCGCAGTTTAATTAATTCACATTCAACTGAAGATGATCTTTGTGAGCTAGAGCACAGTTTTCGACATAACTTAATTACCAGTACGGAACATAACTATTTAAAAAAACAGAGAATTATTAAGAGCAATTAATCACGTCACGACTTGACTTTATAGACTTTGATATGAAATCACTATTAACCATCAATTTTATTTAATCTTTAAAAAGATATTAAAATGTTTTTTAATTTAAATTTCTCATCTTCATATTAATTAATATTCGTTTCAATGCTTTTCAGCCCGTTAATAATTGATTCCATTTGAGCACTAACTCCTTGATGATAAATGTTATCGAAATCTTTAACCAAGGTCTTTAATCTGACATTTCTTGACTCATTCAATCGTTGACATTTGCTCAATATGCTGAATATTCTTGTTACAAATTCTGATGGCAATTTTGATGTCAACTTTGAGTCCAAAAACGCTTCAAGGACTTGATCAGATACTAAATTATTATTATAAATATCAGCAACAAAAGTCATGACTTTTCCTAGTCGTTCCTTGACATTTTCATTAAACATGTCTGAATTTAATCCAATGAAAGTTATACAACGTGCTGTAAGGAAAGCTGTCAATTTTGCTCCAAAGTTTTTGCAAGATTTTGAAATTTCCAGGCATAAAATTGAATAAGTTGGATGTGGTTGATCTTTGAGGATGATTTTCCATAAAATTTGAATAAATTTGTCAATTTCTTCTTCATCAACTTTAAAAATGTCCAAAAGTTCCACAACATTTGCATCGTTCATGCTGAACAGCATCAAAAAGTCTTCATAGAAATTTTCAGGAATGTTTAAAATTTTCCATTTCCGATTTTTTAATTTTTGGATTCTTTTGAAACATTCTGATTGAATATTCTTAATGTCTTGTGCCAAAACTGCATCAAAATATTTCATATAAATATCAAGCTTGTGCTTATTCTCATTTTCCATCTTTTGTCCACATTTCATGAATAAAAATTCAATTGACTGACTACAAATCTCATTTGTTGATGACTGCAGGAAAATTTCAATTGTCCATGACAAAAATTCATGTTTAAGGAAGTCCAAATTGTACAGTTCAGCAATAAATTCTAATAAATTCATAAACTCATCAGGTTTGATGACAAATTTTGGAACTTCCTTGATAATTTTTTCAATATTGTGAATCAGCAAGTCCTTCATTTTTCCATCAAGTCTGCATGCTGTTTTCACATAAATTTGTGGATGTTTAAGCACATTTTTCATTAGATCTTCAATAAGTTTTTCTGGTGATTCAGTCAAGATTTGTGGCTTATTCTGTGCATTGTCAAGCAACTGAATTAATGAATTAATTGAATTTGCTAAATCTTGTGCTTGATATTTCAAATCTTCATCATAATTTGGCAGATTCTTGACTGTTCTTGCAATTGTCCTAATCTGCATCAGTTGTTCCTTATCACCTTGACTTGACAGACGAATTGCACATGTTTTTACAAATTTGTGCATTAAAATAATATTTTCAGGACTTTGTGATTTAAACTTGTCCACAAATGCGATCATTGCTGTCTTATTGACGAAGCTATTATTGTAAAGTTCACACATAAATTCCAACAATCGTTCCTGATTCTCAAATTTCAAGAATATTTCATCAATCAGCAGTTTTTGGAATGAAACTTTTTGTTTCTGTAGCTTGAAAATATTTTGAATAGCATTTCCAATTTTTTGGACATTTTGGATGAAAAAGATGATTGTTGATTGACCAGCTTGAACTCGTTTGATAAATTTCTTGACAAGATTAATGACTTGTTCTTTCTCTGTGATTCTGATTGTTGAGATTAAAACTGAATCGAAGAAGAATTTATCATCGTCTGAAGTTTTTGGTTCAATGTTGTCGAAGTAGTTGCAGTAATCTTGATAGTCTTTGATGTCTTCTTGGGTGATTTTAGATTGGGTTGATGTCGATTGTGGATCTGTTAAATTGTTTTGCGTTTCTGGTTCCTTTTGAAGTGCTGTTTTCTCCTCAATCATTGCTGTAGATGCAGATGGTTCACTCGAGTTGGTTGGTGTTTCGGACATGGATGGATCAGTTGAATTAGTTGAATTTTGAACATTTTCATTTTCGTCAATTGAATCGGTCAAATCTTTTGAATCATTTTGGTCTGTCCGATTTTTAACTTCATCATTTTTTTCCAATTCATGAGCTGGACTTGATGATGATGAATCAGGACTATTTGACTTTATAGAGTCTTGATAAATTTCAACTGATTTTTCGCCTTTATCTTGCTCGCTTTTTTGTCGACTTTTTTCTAAAATATTCTCCAAATCCGCAACTATTTCGTTGATTAATTTCGAGTTGATGTATTTGACTTTCAGTGATTCTCTTATTCTTCCTTTGACGTCGATGATGGTTCTTTCAACTTCAGTTGCTAATGCTTTAGAGCCAACAAAGAACTGACATAATTTTTGAATGAAGTAATTCATCAACGATGGAATTGGATATGGATTCAGATCTGAAACCTCAGCTATAACATGCAACAATGTAGCAAGTCCTTGTTGAGTGATAAAAGCCTTGACACATAAAGTTTCAATTAGATCAATTACTGATTTTGCTATATCAAACGGTTCACCAATTACTTCACAAACAGCACATTTATTTCCAAGTGTAGTCCACAAAACATCTAGGAACACAGATTGAAGTAAGTTATTATCAATTTCTGGTGTTAATAGAAAAGATATGATCTCAACTAGAGCTGATTTTGATATTGTTTGAGTTGAGTACATATTAAGGAGGTGCTTTGAGGCAAGCTTCATTGCTGACTTTTCATTAGGAATTGTAATCATTTTGAGTTTCATTAGATCAATATTATTAACTTCATAATTGAAGCTTGAACAAATTTCTTTGAAAATTTCAAAACTATCAAAATTCTTTTGTTTATCTTCAGAAAGTGCAAGTTCATTTGAATAAAGTTGCCATGCATATTGATTATCCTTTTCTAATTTCATTGAAACTGTCTGGTAAAATTCTTTATAAATTTCCTTAATATGATAACCGTCAGATTCTTTTGATTGTTTTGATAACCAACTGATTACCAAGTTACAATTGATGAACTTTTCATTGTAGAAAGCTGCAAGAAGACTTGAGAAATTTTTGAATTTTCTGGTCGGCTTCGTATTTCCATTGTGATATGGCATGTATGTCTTCATCTCCCAATGTAACATATTGCCAATATTAGAATTAATTTGAAATTTGGCAAATGTTTTAGTCATTTTTGCACAAATTTCGATTCGTTCTGGTGTAAAAAATTTGTTTCCAATGTGTCGTTTTAAGATCTCAATTCCTCTTAATGATGCAAAATGACACGATGGTCGATTCATACAAATGAAAGCTGGTTGAATTTTAGGATTTTTGGTATCAAATGCTTCTTTATAAGATTGGCACTTTAGTGCATAAATATAAAAATCAGGTAAATTTGCAACGGTACGGGCACAACCATTTGAACTGAAAAGAGTGATTTAATTTAATTATTATTGTAATTTAATAATTAAAAAATGTGTTATAAAGAAAAACTTACTGCATTAATGTTCTTTCCATTTGCAGTTCTCTGCATCTGATGAGTTCTTCTAGAACTGGAATTAAGATTTTCCGAGCTTTTAGATTCGTCATAGATTTTTTAGAATGTTCAAAATAGCTTCGCATAAATGGTCCTCGATATTTTGTCAACACTTCAATTAAAAAATTATTAAATTTATCTATAGACATTCTTGACCATTCTATGGTGTTCAAAAACTTTTCGATAATATCCTCATTGATTAGTCCAATGATATAGAAATCAACAATCAATATTCCTAGATTATTTATATTTGTCATTCCTTCATCAATTTCTATACTCATATAATATTGATATAGATCAATATGTTCATTAAAGAAATTTACCAAATTTGTTTTTGTCTCATTAGGCCGAATATTGTAAATTTCAATTGCAAGATCACGAAATATCTTTGTTAATTCTGAGTTTTCGACACCATTTTCCAGAAATGTTGTCATTGTAGTTTTCAAAGTATCCTCTCGCATATTAGCAAAATCTTCGAAATGCTCATAAAATTTATAATGTTCAGCAAATAAAATTTTCTTCAAGTAAGAACAAAATCTATCTGCTGAATTATAATCTGGATCAAGTTTTGTATTTTTCAAATTCAGTTCAAAACCTCCGGTAATTATATCATTAAAACTCTCATAAGTTATTCCATGTATATCCTTCAACTTTTTATCTGTAACATTCCAAATAGTTTTGATGAAAAATTCGTTATTTTTTGTTTCTTTCCTCTTTGCTGCCTTTACGATTTCAATTAGAAATTTTAAGTCCAGAAATTCAACATCAAACAAATGTCCAATGAATGTTGCAATGTTCTTACCAAGCTCAACTGCACAGTCAGTCATTTTACTGTCATCATAATTTTCAATAATCGAATTAATTAAGTTCATCAAATATCGATCAAAATTCGAATGGAAAATGATTTTTTCACCATTTTCAAAAACTGTTTCAGGTCCAAGTTGCTTGACAAATTGAGCACATTTAAGTGATAAATTAGGATTGAAGACTGCCTTTTCATAGAGTATGATGCCAACTTCATCTAGTTGCTCTTTAGAAATAAAGTTGATTTTCATTAGTTTATGGTAAACATGTAAATCATGTTCTGATTCAATTAAATCGATGATCGGTTGATATTTTGATTGGAAATTATTTGATTTACTTTGAAATGATCCCATAGCTTTAGATTCTGGAATGATATTTTCACTATACTAATTATATTTTTTTTTAAGTTGTTAAGTTTTATTTTCAGAAGCATTTTTTCGTTTACTTACTTTTTTCTTAACTTTTTAATTGAATAATTGGTTTAGTTTTTATTAACTTTGTTGATTTTTCTGCTCGAATTGATTTAAAATCAAGAAATGAATAAATTCTTTTAATTTTGTTTGTCAATATTCGGCAAAACTGATTTTCTAAAAGGAGGTAAAAAATTCAACACAATGAAAGAATATTTAGAGAGATAACACATGTTGAGGTGTAAAATGAGAATCCAGTAAGAACATTTATCATTATTCTATTCTCTTTTACACATACATTTGTTTATATTTGCATACAATTACTCATTAAAATTTAAGGTAAAAAATGCTTTTGTTTATTTGATCAAATTTTAATTTTTTATTGTTTCCTAAACTTCTGCAAATTCAAAACAAAAATTTAATTTGTGTTCTTCCGGGAGATTTATCCAAAATTTGATGAATTGAGCTTTAAACTCAATTTTTAGAAGATTCAAGAAATTTTTAAGAATTTTCCATTTCAATACACTTTTGATTCTTTGAATTTTTGGTCACTTAACAAAGTTCCTGAACTCTTGCTCGATTTGAAAAAGTCTAAAATTTTACAAGACATTTTTAATACTTTTGATTTGCCAGGATGTTGGACACCGTTAAGATTAGTTGCTAAGGATATATTTTCTACAAAGTCTTATTAAATTGAAGAGTGAGAATATCAGTTAAAATTCTATAAACTTTTAAAAAAATTATCACTTTTTCAAAAACTAATGTCATTCAAATTTAACTCCAAACCCCTGTTTTATATTTTTTAAATTGCATGTTTTTGACTACTTTTATTACAATTTATCTAAACTATCAGACACAACAACATGCTACACACATAAAATTATTATTTTTCAATCTAAAACTATTGTCTTATTATTACTAAAAAAAGTTTGAAGTAAAAATGAATTTTAAGACTTATTTAGAAGAATATTTTTCATCATCAACAATTCATGGACTAGCTTATTTATCAAATAAGAATCATTGGGTTGAAAAGTACAACTATAATAACTTTTTAGTCAATATTTATATTAAAATTTAATTTTTTAAAGATTTTTTTGGGTAGTTTTTCAAACCATTTCCATCATCTGCACAACAATTCTCATGGCTGAGCTTGTTTTAAAGATTCAAAGCTTTCCAATCATCATTCAACTTTCTGATGTCCTAATTCCAGTCGGTGAAGTAAGTGTAGATTAAATTTGGCTCTAAAAAATGGCACAAAATTTAACTATGACTAGAATAGAATATTGTTTGGGTTTAAGAGATGCCCACTAATCTATAAAAGAGCTAGTGTTGTGCTTGACAGTATAAGACATATGAAGTTTAAATCCAGATTTTTTTGATTAGCAAACCTTTCTTCCTGAGCTATAATCTTGCTTAGAGACCATCAATCAACCTGTTTCTGAGTCTTAATAATAAACTTTATCCAAATATTGTAGATAAATTTTCCAGCAGTAACAATTTGCCGTGGACTACTTTTAAGGAATGATTTACAAAACGAATCAAAAGTGTTTATTCCACATACAAAACGAGAATACAAGGAACATTATGAAAAAGTTTTTAATATTTCTGAAGCCGATGTTGAATTTCCATTACTTTTTGAAGAAGTTCCCGAAAAGCTTGAAACTTCTGGAATTAATTTAAACGAAATTAAGATGTTTACGTAAGTGCTGTTGACCGGTTATCAAAGATCTAGATTTGATTGATTATCAACAACATTTTCAACTAGAACTTATCTCTTTGTTGCTTTAAAGACTTTAGAACTTAAATTTTGTACGCAAAAGTCGAACCGAGTCTAATTTGAGCTCTAGAAGACACTAGGAATTAAAATTAACAAAAATCTTATTTCATTGACTTATTTTCAGCCTTAAACGCCTTCAAATCATCGACTTAATCACAAAAAGTGGAATTTTTCAACGTCAAAACATCTCAATTCCAACCGATGACTTTCTAGCAATTATTAACACATTCAGCAAGCATTTCGATGGAATTCAACTTTATAGATGGCACAACATATTTAATTCATATTCATCGGAAATTATCACTGACATGGGACTGTGCAACACAATCAATATTGCGAATTTATCAGATGTCCTTCATACTGATGTCGTGTCGCATGACTTTCATTATCAATTGACTTACTTGTCACACACTGATATTCATCGAAACTTTACTAGACCTTTTAGGACGTCAACATCAAGTGCTGGATTGGATGTTTTAATGGATATGGAGTCAGATTATGATGTTGATGTGCAGTATTATAGTCCACCTTGGATTTCATCGCTTGTGAGTAGTCTTTTTGATTCGGAGATCTATATTGGGTTGTTGCTATCATTTTTGCTGTGACTTATTAACTTTAAAGTGCTATTGAATGCTTCCCTTTAAGTGAATAAATGCTAAAATAATTTTAGAAAATCAGAGGAGCTTATCTTCTTATCCACGATCCATATGAATTGCCATCAACTGATTCTTTAATCATTCCTGCAAATGTTGATACAATGATGAATATTTGGCTGAACCCTGAGCTTATTAAAACTGATTATTTACTTAAAGCATATAGCTTAAAAGAGTAAGAATTAAAATTAAAAATTTGAACGCTAAACTTGAATTTTACCATTTAATGCAGCCGGAATTGCTTCTTAAATCATGAAAAGAAGCTCAGGTTCTTCAAAGTTTACACAAAAACCAACTGTGAGCTGGAATGTCTGACTGAATTCATGATCAGTCACTGTAATTGTGTTGAATTCTTCATGATTCGAAATAGAACAACAAAGATATGTTCTGCAAATGAAAAGAGTTGCTACGATGAAGCTAAACAGAAATTTGAAAGCAGAAGAAGTGACTGTGGATGTCTGCAACCTTGCGACTATGTTAACTACAAGACAGAAATTGAGACAAAAATTTTATTTATGTGAGAATAATTTTTATGATTAATTTTATAAAATATTTAATTTTGTTAAATAGAGATTGGGCTATGGCAGTGCATGTGTATGTCAGATTCATCGAGAACCTCTACTCGCAGTACATCAGACGTAAACAGTTCAACGAAGTTGATTTTTTGTCATTTGTTGGTGGACTTTTGGGACTTTTTGCTGGATTTTCTGCACTTTCATTTATCGAATTAATTTATTGGTTCCTAATTCGAACAACTTTAAAATTCATAAAAATGAAGTCAATGAAAGTTTTCCCGATTCAAAGAAAATTTGAGAATTTTCAGAGAAAATTTAGATTTTTAAAAGAATATTTTAAAAATTCCTCAATTCATGGCGTAAATTATTTTGCAAACACGAAGCTTTTTGACAAGTAAGATACTTAAAATTTCATGGTTAATTTAAATTTTGTGCATACTAAAGTAAGGCGCCGTTCACTAATTACGTACAGCTTTTAAGAAAAGGGGGATCTAAGATTTTGTTAAGGTCCAAAAAAATGAACTTTTTTCATACACATTTTGCTAAGAGGAGGGAGCGGTGGGGGGGGGGGGGGGGATTATAGAAGATCATTTAGTAGATTTAATTAATTTTAAATTTTCAGGTTATTTTGGATATTTTCATTCATTCTTTCGATAATTGCTTGTTTCTGGTTAATTTCTGGTGTTAATGAAAAAGTTCCAAACAGTCGGGCCATGTCAATTGATGAAAATGTGAGATTTTTGCAAGATGTGAGTATTTTGCTATTCCTAAAAACTAACCTTTATGTCTAATAAACCCAAATGAATGTTTACCTAAAATTTGAAATTTCAACTATTTTAGATTCCATTTCCAGCACTGACAATTACACCGGATATGAATTTTGATGAACTCACTTACGAATATACTTTAGAGTATGAATTTCAAAAGAGTATCAAAAATATGTCAAAAGAGGAACTTCAGAAATATGAACAGTAATTTGATAGTGATCGCTTAATTGACCTTTTATAAGGTTGTTCATTTATAACTTCCATCATCTTGGAGTCTGGTTCAATAAGTTCTTAACTGAACAGTCTTCTCTCATTATTGTGTCTCTTAACTTTTCAAGTGGGATGGATAATAAACAGATTAATTAAATCATCTAAAAGACGTGACCAACTATAGTTTATATATCAATTATCTCCAAAACTATCTTACATAGTTTTTAATGATGATCGTTATAAGAAAAAAATCTACAACATATTTTGCTAAATTTTTCCTTTCATGTTTCTAGATTCTTTGTAGAAAGTGGCGCTTGCAGTAGAAATTATTATTTTGGAATAATTTTTTACCCAGTTGGTCATCTAGTTCCAAAGTACATACGCAACAATTCATCAAAAAATTGGTTTTCTCAGCAATTTGCAGCATTAAATGGACAATTTCTACCAAAGTTTGCCGAAATTCGAACAGTTCTCAGCATGGCATTTACTTTTAATTTGATTGATGCTGAAAAGTTGCTTAATTTTGATGAGTAAGGATGTTTTGATTTAATTAGTGTGTGTGAAGCTGGCGGGAACAGGTTCTCAGATCAAGTTGAAACTTTGTCAGAATTACGTCCATATTACGTCCATTTACGTCCCGTAATTAAATATTTTCGTCCTACTTCCTATGACTGGATATACCACTTTCAATATTTGAGTATCTTTCCCGCCAACTTCACTTTTTCAGCGGGAACCAATTACGAAATTAATTTTAATTATACATATTATATATCAAAACTGATCTCCTAATTACGTCCAATTTCGTCCCGTAAAAATTTTTGGAATCGGATATAACCAGCAAGAGTTATGGACTGTCAAAGTTTTGAACAGTACTACTTGTGGACCAATATTTTTTCCTATTAAATACTTATCATGTAGTATATCAAAACAAGTCTCCTTTTTGTCAAGAGCTTAAATCTGATGGAACTATTTAAGTTCAATCTGTCATTTTGGACTTTTTGCAGTTCCAGTTCCATCTCGTACCTGAACATCATCAAAGTTTCAAAAATTTACTAGGACCATATTGTATGTCAAAATATATTCATTTTTTCTCAGTATTCCTAATCAGAAGGAATTTTTTAGATTATTTCGCCATTTTAAATTTTTGGCAGTTCCTGTGCATTCTAGCCTCGTACCTGAGCATGTCCAAAAATTCGAAAAAAAATTAAGGACATGTTATGCATCAAATCATAAGGATTTTTTCTCATTAATTCAAATTCTGAGAAAATTTTTAAATCCTGATGGTAAATTTGGATTTATTACAGTTTCAGTACATTTTTGGCATGCCTGCACATCTTGATATATGTGTGCATCTTCTTGATTTAAAATTTTTAAGAGGGCTAGCCAGTGGCTATTACGACTTAATTATAGATTTGAAATAATTCATTGATGAAGAATTTGATGCGTTGACATCCAAAATTATTTGATTGGCAATTACTATTGAAAATTAAATTTTTTTTTTCTTGTTAAAAAATAATTGTATTAACGACCTAAATACCTGAATACTCTAAAAGTTTTTAAAAATTTTGAGATTCGATAACCTAATCTTTATATTGAAAAATAAAAAAATGTTTATTTTTTAATTTTTAATTTTTTTTCGAATTTTTGGACATGCTCAGGTACGAGGCTAGAATGCACAGGAACTGCCAAAAATTTAAAATAGTGAAATAATCTAAAAAATTCCTTCTGATTAGGAATACTGAGAAAAAATAAATATATTTTGACATACAATATGGTCCTAGTAAATTTTTGAAACTTTGATGATGTTCAGGTACGAGATGGAACTGGAACTGCAAAAAGTCCAAAATGACAGTTTGAACTTAAATAGTTCCATCAGATTTAAGCTCTTGACAAAAAGGAGACGTGTTTTGATATACTACATGATAAGTATTTAATAGGAAAAAATATTGGTCCACAAGTAGTACTGTTCAAAACTTTGACAGTCCATAACTCTTGCTGGTTATATCCGATTCCAAAAATTTTTACGGGACGAAATTGGACGTAATTAGGAGATCAGTTTTGATATATAATATGTATAATTAAAATTAATTTCGTAATTGGTTCCCGCTGAAAAAGTGAAGTTGGCGGGAAAGATACTCAAATATTGAAAGTGGTATATCCAGTCATAGGAAGTAGGACGAAAATATTTAATTACGGGACGTAAATGGACGTAATATGGACGTAATTCTGACAAAGTTTCAACTTGATCTGAGAACCTGTTCCCGCCAGCTTCACACACACTTTAACTATGGTTAGGTTTTAAATCAATGTGAGCTATCTAGCCACGGTATGGCATCTGATATTAAATTTAAAATTTAATTTTTTTACTTTAAGACTAGACCAAGAGCTCTTCTACATCTCAAATATCACAACTCATCAGAAAAACTCAACACTTGAGCCAATCGACCCGAAATTATACCCAATAACTGTAAACAGCTTTAGTCGTTCAGAATTCACAATCAAATTATCCAAACAAACTCTCGGAAATGGCTTCTTTCGATGCAAAACTCCGTCCTTCAAAATCCACAAATCTCATGAATTTCCAACATTTTTTGAGCAATATTCATTCACAGAATTCGATTATGGATCACAAATTGATATCGAAGTAACTCCAGAGATTATTCGAACAGATGCAATTTTATTAAAATTAAGCCCTGCTGAACGTGAGTGCTACCTTCCTGGAGAAAAAAGATTAAAATTCTTTAAAATTTATTCGCAAAAGAATTGCGAAATTGAATGCTTCACAAACTACACAATTGACATCTGCAACTGCACAGCTTTATTCCAGCCTTACAATCCATCGAAAGGCATAAGTCACTGCATTATTCAAGACCCAAACAGCCTAGACTTCTGCTACAGATACCTAAAATCAAATTTAACAACATCGGAAAACTTTTCAATCGAGCGGAACTGCTCGTGCCTGCCAACATGCGATTCAGTCAATTATAAAATAAAATACAGAACAGAACTTAATGAAAGTAATGAGACAACAATCAGAATCCGAATGAATATAGACGATTTAGTTTTGTATCGACGATATCAGCAGTTTACATCCTCAGATGTCATTTCGTATGTTGGCGGACTTTTGGGACTTTTTGCTGGCATATCAATGCTGTCAATTGTTGAAATTTTTTACTTTAGTACTATCAGACTTGCTGTTGATCTGTGGCGAGTTAGGTATATGCTTAATCGTTGAAAAATTATGTTTCGAAAATTATTGATGAATTTAATTTTTTTTTTTAAATTTAATGTCTGAGTTTCGTCCTCTTGTCTACAGTTCTGAGATAAAAATTCTAAACTAAGCTTTAAAAGACTTACAATCTTATCACACCCTGTATCACACTCTTAAACCTGTAATTGATAATGTTAGATTAAACTTTAAAATAAAATCTGCTGTACATTCCCCGAAAATCATCAGTGAGTTTTGGTTTGTTAAACTTTCAGGACTGAATTAAAAATGGAGCTTAAATTCATTGTGTTGTTTGCTTTAGTATCAGCAGTTTGTGCTGAGCTTTACGATCCAATTGATTTGTCAAATATAGCTACAATTGAGGAAAGGTGAGATTTTTATTAATTACTAGAAAATATTTGGATAATTCTAAGAAAAATAACTAATTTTTGCTCCATAGACCAGGATTTTGGGATAACAGAAATCCAGAATTGAGACCAAGGCCAGTTGTAGACCCACGCAGAAGCTCAAGAATCATTGGTGGATGGTAAAAAATCTTTTTATTCAATAATTTTTGATGATTTAAAGAATATTTTTAATAATAATATTTCAACTTAACATTCAACAGGGAAGTTGAGCCACACTCACATCCATATGCAGTCTTTGTTTTATCATCTCTCGGTTCAAGTAGCTGGCGATGTGGTGGATCAATCATCAGTCCAATTGCTGCATTGACTGCTGGTAAGTTGTATTTCTCAATACTTATAGCAAGATGAGACTTGTCAAAGGCTTCTGGGTTGGATTTTTGAACGTATCTTAAACAAAATCCTTAATAAACTACTAAAATATAACATAAAGCGTCTTATCAAACTCAACTCTCCCACAGCTCACTGTCCTGAAGGAACAACAAGTGCACTTATCATTGCTGGTGCTCACAACATCAACCAGGTTGAAGCAACACAACAAAGACGAACAGTTCCACTAGCAGACTACAGACTTCATGAAGGCTACAATCCACCATCTCTCAGAAATGACATTGCAATTCTTTTAATCAGAAGCAGTCCAATTTTGGAAAGTCGAGAAATTCGCTACCCACAACTTCCTCGATCATTAGTCGGTGAACTTTTTGCTGGCGAGACAGTTTCAATTGTTGGATGGGGAAGAACTTGTGCAGCATGCAACACATCACCAGTACTTAGAGGAGTGACCAACTTGATCATCACAAATGCTCAGTGTAATACATTCTACAGCGGTATTGTTGAACATCAAATGTGTATGTCGACAGTTGGGCAGCAAGGAACTTGCCCAGGCGACTCTGTAAGTTGATATAAAATAATTTGTGATCATATTTTCTGACATAAATTTTCTAGGGTGGGCCATACACACTACCATACTCGGGGGCTGGTGGTGCTTTGCCATTTGTACAAATCGCTGTTCACAGTTTTGGAGCTAGCAGTGCTGTTGGTGGATGTGAGTTGATTGTCAAGTTTTAAGAATTGTAAAGTTTTAATAATTGTTTGAATTTCAGGCGATGCTCAACGACCAAGTGGTTCTGTCCGTACAAACTTCTTCTTAGACTGGATTGACGCAACAGCTAGATTGTAAACTTTGACTTAACTTGTGAATTTTGTGTGATATCAATTTAAAATGAATAAAAAATTATATTTTGATGATCTTTAAATTAAAAGAATTTTAAATCAGGAATCTGATTGAGTTTTATCCACAAAATTTGTTCAAATGATTTAAAGTTCAATTAAAAAAGATTTGTCAAATAAGCCTGTTAATTACTTTAGTGATAAGATAAAATTAACTACAAACTGAGCTTTCCAGACGTTATTTTTATTATTAAGTTGAACGAATCGTTATCGTAAAATTAAAAGTGGTATTTTCCAATATTTGATTTATTTTCTAGATTTCAAATGAATGATGACTCTTACAAATTAAAGTTTAAGTTCTTTTATTCTTACTCTTCATATTATATTTTGGTGGAATTAATTAAGAAGGTTGATAGAGAAGGTCAACATTATAACAATATAAAAAGACTTTAATAATCATTCAGAAGATAGTCAAGTGTCACTAGTTTTCCTCTCAATGGTTCGAATCTACATTAGAAGAATATCCATCAACCAGGTAATGTGATTAGTTAAAAATCAAAGATTCTGCTGCTCATCGCATTTTGTCATATAAAACTTCGACTTTATACGACTCTTTATGATGCTTCTAGTAACTGACCTATGGCTTTTGAAAAGGTAACGTTGTAAGATGGATCAACAGCCTTCCTTTGCAACATCATCGAAAGAAGGGCAATAATATTGTTATGACAGCTACAACTATCAATTTGAAACTTTTTGTTGCTTGTAAGAGTTTAAAGGTTTTATTGAAGGAAAAATAAATGAATTAAGCCATGAATGACTCATTTGAATTGGGTTTTTACAGCAGCAAATGAAGCAAAAAATTTGATAAAATTCAATGATACAATTAAACTGCTTTTAATGATTTAAGCTTATTTTATTCATGAATCAATAAATTTTTTTTTTTAGCAAATACACAATTTTAAATAATAAAAAACCGTTAAGCAAAAATGTTTACAATGAAGCCGTTAAGAAAATTTTGATGTTTGAGATTTGTTTAGAGTTTGGGATTATTTATGAAAACAGATATTTTTTTGATAGTTTATGGAATAGGTAGAACATCTTTATTCTGTTGTTATCATTTGAGTTGTGTCCTGGCTCCACCTTGAATACTTGCACACTATCTTACATTTTCAATTGCCATGGGAAATTTAATATCGATTGTTAAATACCATTAACTGTTCCCCAACAATCCTAACCAAATTATTAACCTCCAAATTCCTATGCTTCTTCAATTTAAACTTCAGATCAATATTATGCCACATAATTCTTCATGCATCTTTCCAAATTCCTCAATCTGAACACATGCACAACAGTTCCAGAATAGCAAACATTTCCGCCCATCATAATGACTTGTGCCTTAATCTGTTCAGCAAATTTCCTCTCGACCGACTCAATTAGATTGTCTGACAAGTCAATAAGTTGAAAGTCTGTTCGTGAACCGAAAGCATCACCTCTCAGTGTTTTGATATCATTGCCTTTAAGGCTTAAGTATTGGACATTTCTTAGGTTCGAGAATGTTCCATCTGGAATGTCATCAATCATGTTGTATTCTAAGTAAATAGCTTGTGTATTTTGTAGTGATTTAAACCAGTCTGGTTGGAGGTTCTTAACATTTGTGTGCTGAACAAAAAGTGCTTGAAGGTTGGTAAGTGATCTGAAGAATCCATTTGGGATGGTTTCAAGTGGATTGTTGCTGACTAGTAGAGCACTTAACTTTGGATTGTTGGCTAATAAATTCTCTGGTAAAGTCGTTAATTTATTGTTGACCAAAGTCAGTCCACTAAGATTTGGATTCTCACTGAATGCATTCTCTGATATTTGAGTGATCAAGTTAGCTGCAAGATTCAATTCCTGTAAATCTCCGCAGTTCTTGAATGAATCACCATCAATGCCTTCAATTCCAGCTTGTTTGAACTCAATTTTGATTGTATTTGGAAATTGATTGCAAATTATTGATGGGAAGTTTTTAGTCAATGTTGCTGGATTATTTTTGACTTGCAGGATGTTGTCGTTAGTCAAATTTGAGATGTGAGCACCGTCAACTGTTGTAAAGCTGTTCGATCCACTTGGGTTGGTCAATGACAGGTAGCAAGAGTAGCCAGGCCACTCATTAATTGTAAAGTCACACTTTGGGTTTGTATTTTGAGCTTTAAATGAACTTAGCACAGATAATAAAGCAAAAACTTTGCAGATAAACATTTTGATGTCTGGTTTGCGTGATTTGACAAAAGCAACTGATCGCTTGACGTTTTTTTTGCAATGTTTTAGGTGATCAAAACGTTTGTGCTTTTGATTTTTGTTGTGATTTTATTTTTGCATGCTTAAATGTGATTTTGATGCAGGGTTTGCGACTTAAATTTAATATTTTTGGCAGAAAACTGTTCATGTGGCAATGCTAGAAACATCACAAACTAATATTTTTTTGCAGTTTAAAGCCATTATATATTTTTTTGTAGCAATTGCCATCCCTGAGTTTAAAAACCAGATTATCATAAAATGAACGTTTTGTTGTGTATTAAGCCGAATTAAGAAGAAAAAACTAGTGATAATCACATTTATAAATACACTAAACAATCTCGCTTTTACGTCCAAAACAAATTTAATATAAATGCAGAAAACCATGAATAATCAATTGGATGTGGGTCGACGATCGTAAATCAGATCAATAATTGAATCACATATGATTGTGATTTAGTGATCATTTTAAAATACGATTAAGTACGAAGATTCGTTTTTAGATCTTTTCGATCTATTTGACACACTGTCCGATCACCATCTATTTTGCTTTATTAATAGATCGATTCATTTCATTTATTTAAGGAATCTGATATTTCTACTGTTCTCCGTGCAAATCGCTTGAGATGGGCTGTGTTCAGACGCTCATAGGATACCTCAGAATTTAAAAGTTAAAGGAGCAGACTTTATAAATAGCAAGAGATCTACAGGAAGACCAAAGAACACCTGGATTGGAAGTGTTGCTAGATACTAAGTACTATAAGTACGCGAGAATCCTTAATATCTCTAAGCGCGGCAATAGGCCCACGTGCGCCCCAGTCAAGGAAGTAAATGAAGTAAAAGATCGATTATTAATAAACTTTAGCGATCATTATATTGATTCTTCATAGTCATTTTAAATAAAATTGTGTTTTTATAAAAACACTGGGATTTCCCAATCTAAAGTTTATAAGTTAATGTTAAGAGGGTCCGTTGACTTATAACGTCACATTTCTAAGAGGACACAGACTGAGATTTTGTGATAGATCCAGCAAAGGATTTTTTATCAAAGAAAATTTGTGCCAAAAGTGTGAGGAGTTTTTAAAAATTCAGTTTTTTGTGTCACTTAATAAATGAATGGCCTCAAAACTCGTTCTGTTTAGGTAGGATAAAGTGGATTGAAGTTAAATAAATTATGTCTATTGAGGACTAACATTCTGCATAAAAATGGAATGATAATTTGATATTGTCAATTGAATTTATGTCCTAATTGATGTAAATGTGTCATCCGAACTCCAAACTGATCTTTACTGCGTTATTTGACCCTATATGAATGCTAATTGTAAAAATCATTTGAAATCTGCAGAATAATAAATTCTACAGAAGCTGAGTTCATTCAACCCAGCAGTAAACCAATTATTCAATTAAATTACAATTCCGACCGAAAATTACATTTGTTTATTAATGAGTAATAAAATAACAATTTTTTACACTTCCAAATATACCAAAAAAGGTAAACAAACACGCATAATGGACATCATTAAATTGCTTAAATTTAAATATTTACACGCCCCCACGTGTAAAAAGGGTTCATTTGTAATTTGTATTTTTAATAGGATGCTTTAAACATAAAAGTTGTTTACTGTTAATGAGGATGCTGATACCCTTTTCACCGCCAACAAACAGTCCGATAAATTCTTTTAAAAATGCTTTTTGTATCCGATAGTAATTAAAAATAGAAAGAAGAAAAAAAGTTGTTTTAAAGTTTTTAATTTTAGAGCAAGAAGATTTTGTTTAATTGGATTTGTTAAAATTGTGGATATTTTCGGAGGGTTGACAGTTAATTGTGGGTTTAATATGAGCATGGATAGAGCTCTAAGGTCTGGATTTTTCTTTTCGAAATTTTTCTAAAGTTTTTTATGCTAATTTTTTTTTTAGGAACAACGAGGGCGTTGAAAGAGTTTTAATGGATCAAAGGTACTAAAGGAGAACTGCAAGGAAACAATGAGATCTTAGGAGAACCAAAGGAAACGATAAGAGTTCAAAAAGTTAAAATCAAGTTTAAAAGACTCAATCAATTCCAAAGTAATTCAATTCAAAGAAAGGTACTAAAGACAGTCTTAGGTCCAGACCTGACTTCAAAAGCTTTTTAACAGATTTGTATAATCAAAATACAATACTACTTACTTACTTTATCAACAGCCTATTTCCATGAGTTCTTTTGCGTTCCATGTGATCTCTTTCCTTCTACAAAATCGGATTTGAGACCTTATTTTATGGAATGTCAACAGTTCTTCTACTAACATGTCCAGCCAATACACATTATGCATTTTCGGATCATTAAACTTTTACTCCAACATCAACAAAAGCAACAAAAGATTTACCGTTATACATATACTGAAAATCATCGACAGCATCAAGACCATTTCATCTCGCTTTAAACCAAACTAATCACATTGAACTACATCGTACACACCCATTCAGTTCCCCAATGATCTTATTCATCCATTCAAAATTTATTTAAGAATTTCCGTCACGTTTTTCAAACCAATTTTTTCTTCCTTGCTTGACTTGAATTAATACAAATAGTGTTGGGGCATGGCTGAACATAGATATCGTAAAGAAAAGCACAAAAGGATGAGAATAAGCACTCGACGTGCTGTCAATTTTTTTATTTTAATTTAAACATTTAAGTTGAATTTTTTGTCATTTCCTTTTATTCATGTGCTGAACCTCCTTTTGTACAGCCTTTGTTATCCAGAAAAATAAAAGTGTCGACTTTGCACTTGAAAATCATCACACTTGACACAATTTATGTCGTGTATTATTGACGACAATGAAGAGTAATCAAATGGCAATGAAAAGGACACGCTCTGCGAGTCGTGATGTCAAAATGTTTTGGATGTTTGTGGATGTTTTACAAGTTGACACGTGGATGTGATGTGCGTGAGGGTATGATGATACAAATTGGAAGAGAAAAATTGTCAATGACTGGGATATGATAAGTTTGTGGACGAGCATAATCACTTGAAAGTTACAATTATAAACATCAGCCGCATGTGGCTGGCAATATCTTATTTTCACTCAAATATAAGATTTAGCTAACATGTTAGCCTTTTTCCAGATGAAGCTAGTCACCCGAAGTCTCAAATACAGAATAATTTCAACTCACTAATTACCAAAAATTTTTATCAGCATTCCAAACAATCAACCATTGAAGAAGACGAGTCAATTGAATTTGTAAAGAAAATGAAGAACGCAGAAAGAATGTGAAGAAGACGATTCATTATTATGTGCTGATTTAGCTATTATGTGAACAGAAGGTCGCAAAAAAAAAGTTTTACATCCAAAATATTTTATTAGAAAACTTTGTGGTTCTGTGGACAGATTTTTTTTTTTGTGGCTGCGCTCTTAGCTGTGAGGTTGTTGAAGACGAACTTTGGATGAAAGATTAATTTATCAATGTTTTTTTTTTTTAATTTTGAAGCTCATTATTGCGGTCATGTTATTACGTAATTGAAAATTTTATGGGTTATTTGAGGAAAAAATAATTAAAATTAATGTGATTTGATGGTTGATATTGAAAACTAGGCTTTTCGGGGACGCTCATAAGCAGGGTTAAAATTTGATTACTATTTTGTAAATAACTGTAAGAGGCCGATAACTAGGGTGACTATCTAATTTTTATGAAAATACAGGACATTCGTGAAAAAAATACAGGACCTGGAACAAAATTTTCAAATTTATACAGGACAGGGTTTTGAAATACAGGACTGTCCGTTGTAAAACTACACAGATGGTCACCCTACTGATAACCGTCTCAAACCCCCTAAAATTCGGACCTCCTTAATCCACCTCCACCTGACACCCACCTGACTTCACAAATGGCTTCACATGGCTTCCGTTCTCGAGCAAGTGAGACAGTGAATTAGGCATTTATAATTTAGATTGTCACTGAACCTGAACAAGCGAGCAATCTTAGTCAACTAAGCAACAGTCACAAAGCATGAGCACCAGTAACAGAAACTGAGCAACTCATAAACTGAGTAGCTATGACAAGAAAACATGGCAGGATTCATAATCTTCGCATCAGCAGTTTTCAATATTGAAACAACGTCTTTGTCAATCTTCACAACCCTTTAATCCACTCTTTACAATATTTTTAATCACATTGGCTCCACTTTTCCTGTTTAAAAGCTCATAAAACAGACATCAAATCAACCTCAATACAATCAAATACCAAAACTCACAAAGTCCAGAAAAAAACACAAGAAAGAAGCAAAAAAAGATTTTCCATTCATCTGTCAAAACAGAATTAGTCAAACATAAGGAAGGACAAAAGTAGGAGAGACAATGACAGACATAACAATAACACTGAATAAAAGCTTTTTTGAAAGTATTTTAAAGAAGAAAGATGAAAATGTTTAATCAATGGGGATGTTGATGTATTGTAGAAGGTTTTATTATTTTTCCTAGAATTCAAATGAATAATGGAAGCTATTGTCGATGCACAATGAATGAAAAAATAGGAAAAATACCGTAGATGTATGAACGAAAAAATTGCTTTTGATGCTGTTTGAGTTGTGTAAATATTTGTGAGAAAAAATGTTGATTTAAAAATTCCATTAACTTATTCCGCTTAAATGAAATTCTTGGAATTTATTGTGAATAATTTGAATTGTTTTTAAAGGTTTTTTGAAATTAACTGTGCCTTAATTTGATGTCTTAATTATTATTTTAAATATCGATTTTTGACTAGGGTAGGATTGCATTGGAACAGGTTTAAGGAGGGTTGAAGAAGGGTTAGGTTGTAGGAGGGTTGACTTATAATTAGGCGTACCATCTTGGTTTTTCAAAGGACAGACCTATTTTTTTCATTTTTCAAAAATAAATTGGTTTGTTTGTTCTAATTCGTTCAGAAAATGAATAAAATTCGTAGACACGTGGAATATCCTCAACTTTACTTTCAATTCCTCTACTTTTTCAAAAATATCTGGTCACCATAGTTATAATTGAAGTAGTGCTGAGAATTCAAATGGGCATTGGTGAAGAAT